TATCCTACAACAAGGCGGACCCAGAATCCTTGGGTGTGTGCATGTCCTGTCCGTCCGAACAAAATTAAATCACAAACTCAACACAAGGACGTTGATCTAGATGCTTTTCAGCAACAATTTTTCCAACCTCCGCCTATTGCTGAGACGGTCAACTATAACGTCCAATTAAGTGATCCAAATGGCGGACGTGTTGAAGTCATGCCAGAAACGCACCTTCCGGACCTAACCATTCCATCTGAGCGCGAAATTGAGGAAATGTATGAGCACAACAAAATGCTCAATATCAGGAAGAAGGTGAATGGATAGACGCTTCAGATACAGAAGAAGACACTATATATGTAGAAAATAACGATTCTGACAGCGAGTAATTGTGCTGTTGTAATTTCAATTTTGTGATATAATTTCTCCAAGCATATTTGATAATTTCTTTCATCATTATTGTTTGTAAAATAATTACTCCTTAATCTGTTCTATACCACATAAATTCAAAGCAGTTTATTTAATACTCCACAGTCCACACTACAATTACGATGGTATTAATAGTTATTCATATAATTACAATAGTAATAATAATAATAATAATAATGTTAATAATTATATTAACATTATTTATAATATTATAATAGTAATATAAACACAATTAATATTATTATAACGATATAATAATAATAATAAGAATAATAATAATTATTATTATTATTATTAATAATAAATCATGTCTGAATTTTTCTAATCTGATCTGATTTGAATAAAATAAGAATAAACAATAAGTAATAACTAACACAAAGACGAACAGAACAACACCTTATTCATTTTTCGGTTCAATAAGTTGTGTACATAGTTTCAGACGACACATTCTTGTACGCATAATATCTCAGTCAATTGGTTCTTTATTAGTCATTTTTTAGCATAAAATGCTTGGGTGGCAGGAAAATGAAATTATAAATTAAATAGTCACGGTTGTAGTCACGGTCAGGACCGTGACTACACCCTTCGTAAATGCCGAAGTCAGGGCCGACGGTCAGAGGGGCGCTGACCACAATAGTCACGGTCATTGCCGTGATTATGACCGTGACTACTTTCAAATTTTAAAAACAGTCACGGTTATAGTCACGGCTTCGACCGTGACTATTCCGATTAAAGGCGGCTCTGACCGCCTCGCTGACATCGTCAATTACGAAGGGTTTAGTCACGGTCCTGACCGTGACTATGACCGTGACTAAACAATTATATAAAACAAACACTTAGCGTTTTTTTAAAAAATCCTACGCACCCCAGATATCTCAAACCCTAAACTACCTCTTCCTTCTCTTCCAGTTTGCTTAGTGCCGCCGCCGTCGCCGTCGCCGCCTAGCATCTGCCGTCGCCGCCTAGCATCCGCCGCCGTCGCCGTCGCCGCCTAGCATCCGCCGTTGCCGTCGTCCACAACCAGTCGTCCGCCGTCGTCCGCCGCCTTCCGTCGAAGCCCCTTCTTTTCTCAGTCAAGGTTATGTGTTCTTTTCATCTTATTTGCTAATATTTGATATAAAATCCAAAAATGCATGATACTATACTCAAATGTTGTATGTATGATTTATTATATGCATGCTTTGTAGTTTTGCATGATAATATCGGTTTATATGTTTGGTATGCATGATAATTATGTTTAAATGATTTAGATTATTTTATGTTTAATATATGTTCATATGCATGATTAAAGTATTTATAAACTGTTTTTCAAAATGGTAAATTTAAAAAAAATTGAATTTCCGAATGTAATTTATGAAAATATTTGAACAAACTTATTAAATAAACTGTCTTTATTTTCTTGTTCATATATATTATATTCTTTTTTTATTTAAATTTTGCTCAATATGTTTTCGAACTAATGCATGCTTATACAATTAGTACGATGTTTAATATATATGTTTAGTGTTTGATTTGCATGCCTCTCTATACATATGTATTACTTTAAATTTTATTTCCGAAAATATTTAATTTATGAAAATATTTTAAAAAAACTGTTTAAATAAATAGCCCCTCGTGTTAAACTTCCAAAAATAGTTTAACACGTTTAATTATAATTTCCGTAATATCCATTAACAAAATATTAAACATTTAAATTTATTCCTGAAAAAAACTGGACGAATCACTATTTTTTATAATAGTATAAGCATAAAAAATTATTTTTATTTTTTATATTATAAACTGTTAAATTATAATCTGTTTTTAGATAAACTGTTTTTCCAAAAACTATTTTTATACAAACAGTTTTTATATAAACTGTTTTTATAATTTATCTAAAAAAAACTGTTTTTATAAAAACTGTTTTTATAAAAACTGTTAATTAAAAACTGTTTTATTAAACAGATTTTTGTAAAAAATAGTTTTTATAAAAACTGTTTTAATAAAAACTGTTTTTATAAAAACTGTTTATATAAAAACTGTTTTTATAAAAACTGTTTTTATACAAACAGTTTTTATATAAACTGTTTTTATAATTTATCTAAAAAAAACTGTTTTTATAAAAACTGTTTTTATAAAAACTGTTAATTAAAAACTGTTTTATTAAACAGATTTTTGTAAAAAATAGTTTTCATAAAAACTGTTTTAATAAAAACTGTTTTTATACAAACACTTTTAATATAAACTGTTTTTATAATTTATCTAAAAAAAACTGTTTTTATAAAAACTGTTAATTAAAAACTGTTTTATTAAACAGATTTTTGTAAAAAATAGTTTTAATAAAAACTGTTTTAATAAAAACTGTTTTTATACAAACACTTTTAATATAAACTGTTTTTATAATTTATCTAAAAAAATGTTTTTATAAAAATTGATATATATAAACTGTTTTATATAAACTGTTTTATTATACAGATTTTTGTAAAAAACAGTTTTTATAAAAACAGATTTTATAAAAACAGTTTTTATAAAAACTGTTTTTATAAAAACTGTTTTAATAAAAACTTTTTTAAAAACTTGATTTAACAAACTGTTTTGAATTTATTTTAAAATGATATATCTAAAACATAAAAAAATGATCTCCTCTCATGTAAACTTTGCAAAAAGTTTAACATGTTACCTCCAAGGGCAATTTATTGCCAAATTATAGAAGAACTTATTGTGAAAAAATATGGACCCCTCATATTAAACTAATAGATAGTTTAATATGCTATAGAAGAACTTATTATGAAAAAATATGGACCCCTCATATAGAAGAACTTATTATGAAAAAATATGGACCCCTCATGTTACCTCCAAGGGCAATTTATGATAATACTTGTATAAATTTTTATAGTGAAAAATAATAAATATATCCCAAACTTTGAAAGGGTGTGAGGTAAGCACCCCAAACTTGCATAAGTAATTTAAACACCCCAAACTTTATATAAAGTTTGGGATATTTAAATTACATATGAAAGTTTGTGGTGCTCTTGTCACATCCCTTCAAAGTTTGGGGTATTTTTATTATTTTTCCCTATAAAAATTTAATAAACTGTGTATAAGTTTAATATGAGTGGTTCAATAATTTCTAATAAACTCATCCTATAATTTATCAATGAGTTGACCCAGTCGATCGAAGAATCGATCAGTTGGAGCTTGTCAATGAGTTGACCTAGTCAATTCTTAGATAAGCTCCAATCTGTGGATTCTTCTGGCTATGGCTTGAGTCATCGATGGACTCTCTCAAGCGCATGTACTGACATTATGTCGCTATATGTGATGTAGCCCATCCATGGTTCAAGGCGTAGCCTGAAGAATCGTCAGAATGGAGTTTATCAATGAATCGACTCGGTCAACTCATTGATAAGCTCCAACCGGTTGATTTTTCGATCGACTGTGTCAACTCCTTGATAATTATAGTATTTGTTTATTAGCAATTATTGGACCCTGATATTAAACTTATACCCAGTTTAATATGTTATGTACATTGACAATTGATAATACTTACGTAAAAATTTGATTTTCTATTATAAGCGTTCTAACAAAAAACAAAATAAATTAATATATTTTAGATGAGCAACGAACAATCGACCTCGGCTCCCCGCCCTAACTATGCGCCCATGTCCGAAGCGGAGCGCAACAACGATGGAGCTGTTTGGGTGACGCCTGCAGAAGTTCTTTTGTAAGTAGTTATGAAAAAACCTTATTTTCAATAATTTTATATAATGTTAAATAATCTTACCAAATCTTATATAAATAAATACTATTAATTTTTTTAAGTGACAAACAAGTGTTCAAAGGCATCAAAAGCATAATCGGAGGACACTTTCTTGGCACTTGGGCCACGCTGTCGGATGTTGACCCCAAGGTTCGCGAACTATGGTGGAACCTGTTCAAGGTAAAAATAAATGAATGTTCCCTCCCTGATTGTATTGGCCTAATATATACCTGGTGATTAATTAATCCAATTTGTTTTAATAAAGGCTCGCTATCGTTGGACTCACGCAAACTGTGCCGATATTCTTAAAGCCTACAATGCTAGGATTTCGACCTGGCTTCGCGCCACTTTTAAACGTGCGCGAAAAAGTGGGAAAAAGCCTAAATGGGTTTCGGATGAAGTGTGGTCCAACCTTTGTCACCACTGGTCTTCTGATCCGAAATTCTTGGCTAGAAGTGAATCCGGTAAGAAAAACCGGATGTCCGAGAAGGCCTTGGAGATGCAGTGGCACGGAGGTCGTAAATCTCAGAATGCCCATAAAGAAACTCTTGTAAGTGCTATTCAAAAAACCTTACAACATCACAGTCCTTCATTATAAAAAATTTACTTAAGTCTTTTTCACACCATTTAGGCTGGTCCTGAGAAGAAGAGGGTTGATGTTCTCCGGCTCGTCAAGCATTGCTGGACGAAGCACGGCGAGGAATCTGAAGCCGATTTGCCACCCCGCCTCGGTGACTTCGAAGTATGTAACATCATATTTTGTTATTTAGTAACATTTCAAATCTAAGTATGTAGCATTTAAAAAATATTTTTGAAAATGCAGACGAAGTACAACGAATCCCTCGACAGGCAGCGTGCGGCACGAGGCTTGACCCAGGAGGACGACCTCGATTCCGATGCGGATGATGAGGCGGCCATTGAGGCGGCCGGGGTTTACAAGGGCCGGGTTCCGTGCTTGGGGGCCGAGGGGCAACGGATTTTGTATGATCGAAGCACCGGCGCTTCCTCTTCTCGGTCAAGGCGGGGAGAAGATCCCCGTATTGCTACAATGCAGCGTGAACTGGAGGAGCACGAACGGCGATGGGAGGAGCAGCGGAAAGCAGATGAGGCCACAAAAGCCCGGTTGGAGGAGATGGAACGGTACATGCGTGCCGGATTCCAGCCTCCGCAACAGCCTTTTCCTCCCCCGTACGTATTCCACCCTGAGCAAACTCCTCATGTTCCGCACATGGGCGGTATGGGATTTTTTCCCAACTCCGGATACGGTGGCATGCCTATGCTTTCGCCGAATTTCGGATCTATGTCCTTTGACTTTGCGAGGTCATCCGGAGGAGGTAGTGGTCCACCGAGCCATGGACCCCGGGGAGGACCCCGAGGAGGACCCCGAGGAGGAACCCGACCTGACCCCGAAGACCCCCCGTGAACCCAGATGAGTTTCTTGTTGATGATGATGAAGAAGAAGAAGAAGAAAATCCCAATTTTTATCATAATGGAGTCCCACGGGACATGTAATCATCATACATTTATTATTTGTTGTATTTCAAAACATTTAAAAATTTGTCACAATATTTATTGAATTTGTTGTATGTCTTTACTCTTAAAATGTATTTATTTTAAAAAAAAATAGTCTAATATTTTCAATAACTCATTTTTCAAAAAACATTTTTAAATTTAATTTGTAAACATCCGTTTTTAAAAAAGTAATTTTTAAAAACATTTTAAAAAAAAACGAAAACTGGAATTTTTTTTAAAAAAAAAAAACAAAAAAAGTAGTCACGGCCTTATCCGTGACTATAATTAATCCGAAATTATTATTTTTTTTAAATAAAAAACAAAATTTTTTTTTCCCAAAAAAACCAATTAGTCACGGTCGACACCCGTGACTAATTTCAAAATTTTAAATTACCGCCGCGGGCGGTCTTTTAAAAATTTTGAAAATAAGAAAGATTAGTCACGGTCCAAAGCCGTGAGTACTAATATTAATTTTTAAAAAAACTTAGTCACGGCTTCTGACCGTGACTAATACGCCGGAGTGGGGTTCCGGCGAGTATAATAGTCACGGCCGCCGACCGTGACTAGTCCGTGACTAAATTTAGTCACGGTTTGTTGGACGTGACTTCAATTTAGTCACGCCCATTAAGTCACGGATTTAGTCACGGCCAGCGACCGTGACTACATCTGTTAGTCACGGAAAAATTGAACTGCTGTCCGTGACTAAGTCCGTGACTACAGGCGTGTTTTTTTGTAGTGTTTGCTTGTCCCGGCCTTCGGGACGTTGAAGTGGCTCTCCATCCGAGGGAGAGCTAGCACTACCTCCGAGTGTGGGCGAATCGTGCGATTGTGGAGACGATATTGGCCGGGAGAAGGATACCGGAGCTTCGTATTGTTGGTACCACTTCGGACACAATTGGAGGACACGCCACGCATGCTCAAATTTGAATGTCTTGTCATTGTTATCATTCATGAAAATGTTTTTGGCTTGAAAGTTCTACAATATAACAATAATAAAGGAGTAAGGTGCATAGTAATATAATTAAATGTTTTAATTACATAGTTATATGTATATTTTGAATATAGCTAATATAACTAATATACACTAATATATACGTAGTAACTAATATAACGAATATATATACTAATCTAACTAATATAACTAATTAATATAACTAATATACGAAGTATATAACTACGATTGTACGAATATATATGCTAATATTTTATATATACACTAATATAACTAATATATATATATACACACTAATATAACTAATATATATTACGAATATATATACTACTATTATTATACGAATACATATACTAATTTTATACTAATATAACTAATATATAATTATATACTAATATCATACTAATATTATACAAATTTGAGCATGCGTGCAGTGGCGTGTCCGGAATATCCTGACCGGACCCCCGTTCGGCCTCAGCCGTTTGGGGCAGTTCCCGGTAGTATTTTTTGCTCAAATTTTTTGAGTATGTTCCTCATCAAGTCTAGTTCATCTATACCAAATTTCAGTAAACAATTCAATCGGGAAGGTCGTCAAATGATTTTTGCAAGTTAACTGGTCCGGAATATGTATTTTCCGGACCAGTTAACTTGCAAAAATCATTTGATGACCTTCCCGATTGAATTGTTTGCTGAAATTTGGTATGGATGAACTAGAATTGATGAGGAACATAAAAACAAAATATGAGCAAAAAATGCAATCGGGAAGGCCCCCAAAATGAGGAGGCCGGACGGCGCTCCGGTCAGGAAATTCCTGACCGGAAGATTACTCTCTCTCTCTCTATATATATATATATGCTTTAATTACATAGTTATATATACTTAATATTATACGAATATACTCTAAAATATTAATATTGTTATACATATTTCGAAAATATATTAATATATACTTTATGAATTAAAATCAAATAATAGAGTAGTTTAGAAATTACCAAATCGTCTAGGTTCGACTCACTCCTCGGGGTTGCGTTCGCTTTCCGCACACAACCTTTCCATCGAGAACATTGATTATTGATGATCTTAAAACGGGACTCAATTGAATCTTGAGTTCAAGGAACATGACTTTGTGCCGAAAATATCTCGTGAGTTCGGCCCCAAAAAGTCTCCCCCGGTTGATTTATTCCAATGGCACCATCTTCGGATATGGTGACCCAGGCGTTGCATAGAACAACATCCTCTTTAGCACTCCAATTAACACCCCTTCTTGAGGAAGACATAACAAAAATATAGTGAGAAAATATGATGAAGAATGAGAGAGGTTAGAGATATGTGATTAAAATGAGAAGGAATGAGGTGTTTATATTGGATTTTTGAGCAAAATATTAATTAAAAATAATTGAAAAATAAAATAAATTATTTCAATTTGATTTAAATTTCAGCCGTTGGATCATTTTTTTTCCCGTTCAAACAGTGCCAAGATCATCACAGCCGTTGGATCTATCAAAAGGTTTTTTTAGAAAAAAAACCAGCCGTTGCTAGTGCATGCTGACATCATGCTGACGTCATCATGACGTCAACGATGGAAATTAATTCGGCTCCCAGCCTCTGCTCCCCGCCTGCGCACAGCAGGTATGCCCCCACTCCCCTTTTTCTTTTTGGTTGTCTAAAACTCTTCCAAATTTAACCCTTCCCTCCCCAAACCCATTTTTAATACCCTCTACACTAAACCAATGTCTGAAATTAGGAATCTAAAAATGTCATTTTAACATTTTGGACTCCTAATACCTCACCACTGTATTTGGTCTCAGAGCCGGCCATATGGGATAGGCACCTAGGCAATGGCCTAGGGCACCACTCCCAAGGGGGGCATCATTTTTTTTAAACTAGTACCTGTATTTCGAGTGGCCAGCGGCTGTGTGGGTATAAAAACTACTAGTTGTACAAAGAAATATGAGTACTCCGTAAACAAATTCTGACAAATATGGGAAGCTGGCCCGTTGGATGGATGACCCAATAGAAAATTAGGAAGAAATTAGCCTTGGGAATAGATAAGTAATGTAGTTTATCTATTTAGACTATTATTATTACTTCGTAGACTATTTCCCTAATAAATTCGTATGTTGTACCGTATACGGTCATTGGGATTACATGAGGCAACAAAGAATAGCCACTAGCCAATTCTGCAATCCACTTATCCAACAATTATCCAGTTTCTTTTCTAAAAAAATGATCCTGTTGATTTGAAATTTCAGTATTGATTAACCAACTAATTAATTCGTGATACTACGTATTTGAATATTGAAATTTTATCAATTCACGATCCGAAAGATAGATAAATTATCAACCCGAGACCTAAAAGATGAAATTTATCGATATAAGATTCGAATGATGGGAAACTATCAATTTAAGACAAGTATGATTGAAAATTATCAATTTAGAACCTAAATTGCCATGAATTTTATTAATTTTTTATTTTAAAAATTTTAAATGTTGTATAGTTTTATGAAACTAATGAGCTTTTGTGAAGAAAAGTTTATAAAAAATTAGCAATGAAAATCTTAAAAGATTAAATAAGTCAAAACATATAAAACGTAAGATCTTAGATTGATAGTTTTCCATCATTCGAGTCTTATACCGATACATCTCATCTTTCAAGTCCTGAATTGATAATTCATCTATCTTTTGAATTCTGAATTGATAAAATTCCTTGATTATTTAAAACTTCTATTTCTTCGGTTCTATGGATAAGTTATTAGGTAGTACTTTTATAGTTGTATTTATTTCTTAAAAGAACTTCTATTTTAACATACTTTATATCAATTTTAAATCAAGTGTTACCTTTTACATTGCATAAAAAATCGTTTTATAAATTTCTAATCACTTCACATTTAATTCTGTTATTAATTTTAAGTACTGTTTAATCTTATTGATCATTTTTTGTCTGGGGTACCAAAACTGCTAGAGACGGTCCTGTTTGGTCTTATGGCTTAACTCCATTCAGGCGGATACTTCTGATCTTACTTGGACGAAACTAATTTTATTGTCAATAAAACTAGTGTTAAAACTATAAAAAATGAAGTTGAGAGCCGCATTTACAAATAATCAGACAACTAGGAGATGACTTTACACAATTAAATTTAAGAGGTTATATTTCGATATGGGCAATATGTGAGGGTCCAAATGTATATTTATGATTTTTCCATTGTAACGTGATAAATGATACGTAGTAACAATAATAAATACAGAATTTTAATAACAAGCTCCACCGGTCTTGAATTACACACTTTGTTACGATTGACACACTCAGCGGCGGAGCCCAGAGGTGAGGGTGGGGAGGGGGAACGCTACGGAGTATTACATAATATACTCCTCTTAAAGTTTATTAAACTATTATCCGAATTTTTTCTTATAATTCTTTTATATCAGATTCTTTAAGACTGATATCTCCAGTACTACTCCATAATATATTATTAATAATATATTTTTACATACGGAATATCGAGTATTATTTATGAGGTAATAATCACATCTTCAAAGTATAGTGTTGTTATAGATTAATATTTTCCAAAATGACTACTTCTAGAATATATAGTGTTTTTATACCTATGATATTTTAATGAAGTATTGAAAAATTATAAATGTAGCAGGGAGTATAAACTATAAACAAAGTTTTGAACTACTATACTACTAGAGGAATTGAAATACAAATTTAGGGAAGGGGGGGGCAAAAAATGAAATTACAAGCCAATAATTAAAAAAATAAAAATGTTGGGAGGGGCAAAGGCCCCCC